AAAAAAAAAAAAAAAAAAATCAACAGAACCTTTTCCATCATAATACATTATAGTACTTAGAAAACTAAAACACAAGTCTATCTTTGCCTAGGCTAAAAGAAAGGAAAATAGAGCCAAGTACCTGAAGTTCCTACCTGCAATTCTAGCTACTAGGAGGGCTGAGAGCCAAAGGACCAAATTCAAAGCCAGCCCATGCAGAAGAATTTTGAGACACTTTAAAAATAACTAGCAATAAACAGGAGTAGAAGTATGGTGCAAGTGGTAGAATGCTGCTAGCCTAGCAAGAATGAGGCCTTGAGTTCAAACTCCAGTACTGCTTTAAAAAAAAAAAAAAGGCGCTGGTGACTCATGTGTGTAATCCTAGCTACTCAGGAGGCTGAGATCTGGGGATCGCAGTTCAAAGCCAGCCCGGGCAAGAAAGTCAGTGAGACTCTTCTCCAATAAACCATTGGAAAACCGGAAGTGGCACTGTGGCTCAAGTGGTAGAGGGCTCACCTTGAGCTGAAGAGCTGAGGGACAGTGCCCAAGCCCAGAGTTCAAGCCCCACGACCGACCAAAAAAAAAAGAAAAAGCAATTGTGTTTATAAATTTTGGGCTTACTTGGTATGCTACTTCATATAAACAGCCATCCTTTCCAGCCAAGAAAATTCTGCCATTATCCGTGGAGGTTATTGTCAAAAGGTAAGTATTATCCGTGGGAAGAGAATATAAAGGATCTGGAAGCAACTGCATTCCACCACACATACTGTCATTAAGAATTCCAGAACCTATTTTTAAAGAAAAAATACAAAAGTCAGTTGCTCTGCTTTTAAAAGTTTAAAATGCTCTTTCTACTATCTTTATATTTGAATTCCTGAATTCTCTCAAAAATATCTACCTACTTTTAAAACTGTATAGCACAGTAGAGAGACTCAACAAATGGGACTACCTTAAAATAAGAGGTTTCTGCACAGTTAACGACATAGCTACCAAACTAGCAGCAATATATCACACAAAGGCTTAATATTCATTTTATACAGGGAACTCAAGAAACTAATCCCTCACAAATCTAACAAACCAATCATTAAATGGACAAGGGAACTAAAAAAAGACTTCTCAGGAGAAGAGATAAAAATGGCAAAAAAACACATGAGAAAATGTTCATCATCCCTGGCCATAAAGGAAATGCAAATAAAAACAATCCTAAGATACCACCTTACTCCAGTCAGAATGCAGTAAATTCACATTCTAAATTCAGCCAACAACAAATGCTGGAGGGGTGCGGAGAAAGAGGAACCCTACTGCATTGCTGGTGGGAATGTACACCAAAACAACCACTTTGGAAAGCAGTCTGGAGATACCTCAGAAAGCTAAATATAGACCTCCCCTCTGACCCAGCCATACTATTTCTAGGCATCTGCCATGAGCAACAGGAACCAGGATACAAGAACACATGCACCCCCATGTTCATTGCTGCACTCTTCACAATATCAAGATATGGAAACAACCCAGATGTCCCACTACAGATGAATGGATCCAAAAATTGTGATACCTACATACAATGGAATATTATACAGCCATTAAAAAGGACAAAACAATGGCATTTGCAGGGAAATAGATGGAATTAGAACAAATCATTTTGAACGAGGTAAGCCAAGATCAAAGAGATAAATGACACGTAGTCTCCCTGATATGTGGATGTTAAATCCAAAATGCAAGGAGATATGACACAGTAAACAGGACTCAAGAAACAAAGGATTCTACTTAATTAGCCATATCTTTTCTAAATGACTCCATGTTCTTGACCACATAATGTGTTTATATGTGTGTGTGTGTGTGTGTGTGCATATATATATATATATATATATATATATGCACATCTGAGGAAAGCTAGGAGGAGGGCACAGAATCAGAAGGAAACGGGAAAATATACAACAGAGGGGCCCATCAGCTGCACTGGACATTGATAAAAATGAACTAAACTACTCAAGGGCAACATGGGAGGGAGGGAATGAGAGGGAATGAGAGAATAGCTTACACTAAGCAAAAGGAAAGAAATGTACATATCACCCAATGTGGAAGAAAATAGTTGTATTGTCAAAGCTCATAGAATTCACCAACTTTATAGACCATGATAATGACTATTTGTAAAGGTTAAAATGTGTTTATGACTTTAAGTATCACTAGCTCACAATGCCGTGAAATTTATGTAATCACTTAATCTCAGTAAAAATTATTTTAAAAAACTGTATAATACAAAACTTTTGCTACAGGGTACAGGTGGCTTAGCTGTAGAGAGCTGGGCCTCAGATGTGCAAAGGTCTGAATCTGATCTCCAATACCACAAAATCAGTCAGCACCAACAGTGTGTATATGTGCACATGTGTGCATGTGTTTTCTACCAGGGATATAGTTCAACAGTAGTATACTCGTCTAACATGTGTAAGACCTGAGACCTGACATATAGAACCCAAAAAAAGTACCCTAAATCATTAAATTTTGGTAGAGTCTGAGAATTTGTTAGAAATAATGATTAACTTAGCCACTGGAACTCAATAGTTCAGATTAATTTTTAATTACAATGCTAACTGGCCAATATGTGGTTATTTTGAAAAATACAACATGTAGGTTGCCATACCTGAAAAAAATACAACACATACCTGTTTGCAAATTAGCATAGCTGAGTCCAAGAATCACTATATCCACAGGGGTCGCCAATACTAAGAGGTACCGTACATGAGGTTGAAAAATGCCTAAGGCAAACACATGGGAAAAATTACTTTCTGAAAAGCAGCCAGCATTTCGGTATGGTTTTATCATCAAACTACTAATGACACTTTATGAAATGTCTAAATCTAGATAAGTCATTCTAATATTAAACTACCACTGTCTGACCATTTAAGTAAACAGTAGCAAAAATAACCACCATTAAGAAATAATCAGTTCAGAAGAGCTGAGGGACAGCGCCCAGGCCCAGAGTTCAAGCCCCACGGCCGACCAAAAAAAAAAAAAAGAGAAAGAAAAATAAAGAAATAATCAGTTCAGGGCTAGGAAGGTGGCTCAGTGGTAGAGCTCTTGCCTTGCATGCCTGAGGCCCTGGGTTCGATTCCTCAGCACCACATAAGCAGAAAAAGCTGGAAGTGGCGCTGTGACTCTAGTGGTAGAGCGCTAGCCTTGAGCTAGAGACTGTGAGAGCTAAGGGACAGTGCCCAGGCCCAGAGTTCAGGCCCCATGACCAGCCAAAAAAAAAGAAAGAAAGAAAAGAAAAGAAATAATCAGTTCAGCTGGGCGCCTGTGGCTCATGCCTGTAATCCTAGCTGTAATCTCAGGAGGCTGAGATCTGAGGATCAAGGTTCAAAGCCAGTTCAAAGTCAGCCCTGGCAGGAAAGGCTGTGAAACTCTTATCTCCAATAAACCACTCAAAAACCAGAAGTGGCGCTGTGGCTCACAGGGTAGAATACTTGCCTTGAGCTGAAGAGCACAAGGACAGCGCCCAAGTCCAGAGTTCAAGCCCCACAACCCACCAAAAAAAAAAAAAAAAGAAAGAGAAAGAAGCAGTTCAATATTTAATTACTTAAAATCTGTGTTACAATACAAATTCATTAATTTTATTAAAATAGTTGCATTTGTACATCTGTGCTCAGGAGCATTATTCACAATCTCTTTATAGATGACTAAAACAATGTGGCATATCCATGTAGAGGAATATTATTCTGTCCTAAAAGAGTAAGTGCTCATTGGGTGCTTGTGGCTCACGCCTATAATCTGAGAATCTGAGGATTGTAGTTCAAAGCCAGCTTAGGCAGGAAAGACCATGAGACTCTTATCTACAATTAACTAGTAAGAAAAAGCTGGAAGTGGCTCAAATGGTAGAGTGCTAGCCTTGAGTAAAAGAAGCACAGGGACAGTGGCCAGGCCCTGAATGTAAGCCCTAGGACTGGCAAAAAAAAAAAAAAAGTAATTTCTCAGCCAATGGCTGGTGGGTCATGCCTGTAATCCTAGTTACTAAGAAGGCAGAGATCTAAGGATTGCAGTTCAAAGCCAGCCCAGGTAGGGAAGTCCATGAGACTCTTATCTCCAATTTTCTCCAGAAAAAAACAGAAGTGGTGCTGTGGCCAAGTGGTAGACTGCTAGCCTTGAGCAAAAGGAGTTCAGGGACAGCACCCAGGCCCCAAACTCAAGCCCCACAACTGTCACAAAAAAAAAAAAAATTAATTTTATTTAGGACTGGACATGAGATAAATTTTTTTTCTTATTACCTCATGTAGTAAGGTGTATTCAAAAATGTATTTCAAATTAAACCAATTCATTCTTCTTGTCAGTAACTCTACATCTGGCATTATAAAGTTGATGCTATAAGTTAAACAGTGCTTGTATCTCCTCTAGGGCTTATTCTGAATGCTGTTCTCACATCCATGTGCTATCAAGACTAACAAAATGCTAAGATACAGACTTTAGATAGATTAAGAACAAGCATTAAAAAAGAACAAAAATAAATTTAAGAATTATATACAGAGAGATGGGTAACAATGTCAGAAAAAAATTATATACAATAAAAAGACAAATACATCATTACTGAGAATAGTTAAGTGTTCCTAATCATTTTATGTATTTCCTACAATTCAGAATAAAACTTTAATGGGATCTTGCCCATGTAATTGTAACTCCTCTGTATGGTATTCTCACAATAAAAAAAAAAAAAAAGAAACTCACTGAAAAAAAATAAACAAATAAATAAAATGTAAAAAAACTTTAATGGGAAACTCAACTACTTAACATGTATTACTATTCAGTCCTAAAACATTTTGGAGTCTCTGTGTATAGAAAATTAATTTCATCCTTGTATTTTTATTTCTTACCAGCTTTTGGTTTCACAAGCCCCACAGCAAGAATAGTCTCACTAAGTCCGTCAAAATAGGCAAGATCTCCTCTGTCAGTAATAGAAGAAAAATATTTTATACATGTAAAGACAGGTCTTATTATGCTTTTTATTAATTGTAACTAGATATAGGATATAATGAAAACTATGATGCAAACTAAACTAGTTGAGGACTAGGACCCAGGAACACAGGCTTACTTAAGTCTAAACATGAATGAGAAAGAACAACAGGTAAAGCTGTACCACATTCCAAATGTCTCTACTACCTAGGCTATGAGCACAATGACAACCAAGTAACATCATCCAATAGCTGGAGCACTGGGGCAAGAGTGTAAATTAATGACCTTGAGAGATCTCCAAAGAGCTCTGTTGCTCTTTTTGCTATATGAAGATAAGTGAGCTCTCAATAGACAGCATGTCTGTCAGTGTCTTGATCTTAGATTCTGAACCTTCAGAGATGTGAAAAGTGAATTTCTATGATTCATAAGTTGTCAAGTCCCTATTTTATGGAAGCAGATTTCACTAAGACATAATAAATAAAATTTTTGGACTGCTTGTTCCATCTAGGCAGGACTATTCTTATTCAGAACTACTTCTAGCAGAGCAGTGTGAAATATATGATGGGAAAATAGTATTGGTGAAATGAATGTAACTCAAGGGTACTCAAGGAACACTAACTGCAGGAAGCAATAAAAATTATATAAATTCCAATCACACTAAAGCAAACCAGCCTTAAATACGTACCCATCCTCATAGTTCCACATAAATATGTCACTGTCAATTGTAAGCCAAGCTCTGCTGATGGGAGGGAAAACACCCATCATGCAGTTACATTGCATATCTGAGGTAGTATACATGTAAGGTAGAATTTTTCTTAAATTTATTTCAGTAGCTTTTGACTTAAAAGAATTGCTTTAAGAATTAAAAAGTAATAATAAACTGGGAGCTGGAAGTATAGCCAATGGTAAAAGTCTTGGCTAGCATACATAAGACCCTGGATTAGGCCCCTTGAATAATTGTCTAATTATGTAGCTGGAGTATGTCTATGTGCGACTATGACTTGTTCACTCTATAAAAATAATAGTAATAAAATTAGCTGGGCACCAGTATGAGGATCGCAGTTCGAGGCAAGCCTAGGCATCAAAGTCTGTGAGCCTTTTTTTTTTGACAGTCCTGTGGCTTGAACTCATGCCTGGACACGGTCCCTGAGCTTCTTTTGCTTAAAGCTAGCATTCTATCACTTGAGCCACAGCACCATTTCCATCTTTTTCTCTTTCGTGGTACTGATATAAATAGAACCCAGGGCTTCATGCATGCTAGGCAAGCACTCTACCAGTAAGCCACATTCCTAGCCGTGTGAGACTCTTATCTCTGATTAACCACGAGAAAATTGGAAGTGGCACGGTGGCTCAAAGTGGGAGAGTGAAAAAGCTCAGGAACAGCACCCAAGCCCCGAGTTTAAGCCCCATAATCCACAAAAAAAAAAAGAAGAATAAACTACTCAGGTATTAAATTTATCTTAAATAAGACTCATGTGAATTATAGACATTAATTAAACAGAAACAATATTTATGATAAAATACCAATTTTTAACATTTATCAAATAGTTAAGTACAAAGTAGTAGGATACGGCCAAACTGTTCAACAAGTTCTGGTGGGAGAGGAACTCTTCGGATAGAGCTGATCTCTGGAAGGTTGGGTACTGACAGCAAACCAGGACCTTGTAAAGGATAATCCATATCTGACATGCCAGAAACAGTGGGATTGCCTACAAAAAGCAAGCATACATTTAAAATCATCAACTGTATTTAGAGAAGCATTATAAGCCACAGGCACAAAAATAAATATTTAAAATTTGCACATGTAATAGTCCTAAAACTATAAACAGAATAAAGGAGCTCCAGTCTGACTTTAAGTCCTCTGAGAAATGTCATTATTAAGAAGGGAACAGTTAGCCAGGCACTGGAGGCTCATGCCTGTAATCCTAGCTACTCAGGAGGCTGAGATCTGAGGATCATGGTTCAAAGCCAGCCCGGGCAGGAAAGTCCATGAGACTCTTTTTTTTAGAATCTGTAGAAATTATTCATCACAATCAGTTGTTTGATTCATGCTATTCATTGAATTCATCACACAGACACAGATACTGCACAATATCCATATTTAGCCCAAGTGCCTTCCTTCTGAGGCTTATTTATATGTTTTCATATGCCACAGCACATCATTTAAATAATGGATATTTTCAATGTCAATTCCTTTGTTGACTTTCTCAATATCTTCTGCAGACATCTTCATAACTCCAACACATAAAGCATGCTGTTTTCCTTCTGCCATGATTGCAACAATGGTATCTACTGCAGCAGGGTAAAGCTTAGCTCCAGGAGAACTTAAGCCTGGACACATGATATTTGCTCCACTGAGTACAAATTTGATGGCTCCTTTGTCAACCTGCTGGTGTGGCAGGATAAAAGGATATTTGTGAAGTAACCTTAGGGTTGGATAAAAAGGCCCTTCTCTTTGTCTAAAAAACAGTAATTCTCCATTTACTGTTAGGATTTCTATATGCTTATGGCATCGAACAATTCTGACAGGATCTTTCTTACGCATGATTTGATTAAGCTATGGCTCAGTACCTGGAAATGGCTCTATCAATTGGTTCTTTTTTTTTTGGGTGGGGGGGCTGGTCATGAGGCCTGAACTCTGGGCACTGTCCCTCAGCTCTTCAGCTAGCACTCTACCACTTGAGCCACAGTGCCACTTCAGGCTTTTTTTCTTTTTGCTTATGTGGTGCTGAGGAATAGAACCCAGGGCCTCAGGCATGCAAGGCAAGCACGCTACCACTGAGCCACCTTCCCAGCTCCTAAACAAAGGCAAATTTTGGGTATTTTATTTAAACCTAAAAAAATTTTTAATGGAATATTGCACATGAAGTAGAAACACAAAGGGTGCAATTAGTAGCTTGAATGAGGATGGAAATGATTAAGGAAACTTTCAGAAAACCTAAAGGATTTTCACTGAGAGTCTGGGAAAATTTGTCAGGCAGAGAAGTACATGCTAGAAATGATAAGCAGGGGCTTCTTTCAGAACACATGCTAAATTCAATATAAGAAAACCAAAGGGGCTGGGAAGGTGGCTCAGTGGTAGAGTGCTTGCCTTGCATGCATGGGGCCCTGGGTTCGATTCCTCAGCACCACATAAACAGAAAAGGCTGTAAGTGGCACTGTAGCTAAAGTGGCAGAGTGCTAGCCTTGATCTGAAGAGCTCAGGGACAGTGCCCAGGCCTAGAGTTCAAGCCCCACGACCGACCAAGAAAACCAAAGGATTGAGGACATAAGAGAAGGAAAAGATTAGCTCTAAGAGAAAGTGTGTAAGAAGAGATTATATACTTAAGAACAGAACCAAAATATATGGACTTCTTTTCAAATTTAGAGGACAAAGTGAGATGACAGTTGCTAATAGAACAAACAGACTTTTATAGAGCAAGCCAACTTGTAAGCAGCTGTCAGGTGCAAATATCTTTATTTCTACCATTTCTGCTGTAGTTTCTTAAGGAATTATTAGTGTTCTTTTTAATTTCCATTGTACAGATTATCCTGTCCTTTGGTTCCTGCTAAACAGAAATCGCATCTATATCTCTTATACCTTTCTCTGATTTCCATCTCATAAAAGATTCAGTCTCTAGCAAAGAATGCAAATCCTTTAGCCTCGAGGAATTGTTTATAGTCTAAAACCTTCGAAGGAATTACTTCGCAGTCACGGGTCTTTCATTAACACAATCACTTTGCCCTCTCTGTATTTATTTCTCCGTTCTCTTCCTTATTCCACTAGATTATGTTAACACCTCTCAGAATCTTCTACATATAGTACTGTCTACATATAACAAACCGTATCTTCGAGAAAACATGGTAGATTTTCAAATTAACTTCGCTTGCTATTCGATGTTACTCAAGCATTAACAGAACAATGTACAGAGACATGACCAGTACTTGGCAGCAGCAAGAGAGGCTCATGAGGGTTAGATTTTGGCCTCTTTGTTGCTCCAACTGAGAATCTGTTCAAAAAGATGAAAATGAGCATGGGGGGAAGCGAAAGGAGCTGTTTGTTGTCCTTTGAAATGCAACGAACCGCGCTCTCCGTCTCAGAGGGTTCTCACGGGGGTCAACTCTGGGGATAAAGACCAAGTTGAAAAATCAGGCCAGAATCCTTTCGGCCGAGCAAGTAGGGGCACCCAATGGGCACCGATCACTCACTTGGGGCAGGCACCGTCAGCAGCTCCGAAAGGTCCGGGTACATGCGGTCTTCTTGCAACTGACGATCGATCAGCCGCCCGGCATTTTCCAGAGCTTCCTGCAGAGACGCGGCCGATGTAGAGGCTGTCATTGCTGCGCCCAGCAAAGACGACGGCATCTCCGAAGTCGGAGACCCTGGAGTCTGGAAATAATTGAAAGGCAAGGAGAAATGTGAGGAAGCCCAAGACGCTAGCTCAAACCCGCGGCCTAGGGCGCGCGCGCGCCAAACGAGCGTCCCGGCGCCTCGTCAAGACGCACTTCCGGCTCCCGGGTCTGAGGACGGGAAGCCGCCGGTTTGCTAGCGGGAAAGCGGAAGTTATTGAGGCTCTGGACGTTAGGGGTGGGGCGAAGCTGGAGGTGAGGCTTGGTGGGCGGGGAACCGGGGAGGTAGTCGTGGGAAGGATGGAAGGGGTGGAGAGGGAAGGGTAAGGCTAGGGAGATTAGGAGATGCAGGGGAAGCTAAGGGTTAGGATGGACGGTAGGCAGGACCGGAGGGAGGGAAGGGAAGAGAACCCGGGAGGTGGGGGTGAGGGAGTGTGGCAGGTTCTGGAAGGTTTTCGCACGTGCTGGCCCTGGGCCCGAGCTTCCCAAGTTAGAATTCCACAACTCCCAACTGTTGAGCCAGAGTACATACGTTGGTTACCTTGGTACTCTTAGCTTCACTGTGCGTGTGTGTGTGCGTGTTTGTGTGTGGGGGGAGCATAGTTAGGATCTGGTAGCTTATGACATACAGGTTATAAGTGAACAGTGGAATAAGTTGAAACTTACTAGGCTTTCTTTACATATTGCTGTTGGCTTTGTAAATTATTACTGTGAAATATTAAGTGATCGATGCAGTATTCGCTGCATATCGATGAATTACTTCATACTTTTTCTGTTTCTCTCATTGCACAGAGGCCAGACTTCGGTTTCATTTTTGTGTATTTACTTTGTGTCAAACACACTGCCATAAAGCCTGTTGCTGAGACTATCAAACTACTACAAAAGTTCCTCTCAGGGTAGCCAACAAGCAAAACAAATATATCACTAGGAACTGGCATAAGAATGTAAGCCTGTGGCAGCATGGGAATTGGAGGCTAGCCTGGACTACATTGTGTGGACATATCTCAAAAATAAAGGGAAAAAATTTTAAGTAAAAGGTAACACTATGTATTTTTACTTGTTTTTGCCACTAATGGATTTGAATGGAGGAATTTATACTTGCTCTTCTTGACACTGCACCAAAACTTTATAAGTGATAGTTTCTTTTTGTTGTTTTTTTTTTAAAGACAAGATCTCTGTGTGTAGCTCAAGTAGGTCTTCAAGAAAATGTTGCTGCCTCCATATCCTGATCGCTGGGATTAGAAGCATGCACCACTATACCAAGTTCACAAATGGTAGTTTCTTAAAGTTAATTACACCATGGAATTCAAAACATTAGATTTTTTTCCCTTGTTGAAGTATTATTTAGAAAATAGATTAAGCTCACGGGCACTCAAGTAGGTCTGCAGGCCACGTAACAAACACACAGTGTTTCTATGTTTTGATTATTGAATAAATCCCCTTCACATCCCCCCAAAATATTAACATTTCCACTACTCTTAACAGCTATTATGAAATTGTTTCATATGCACACAAACAGATCAAAACAAGGGCCTTGTCAATGCTAGTAAATATTATACAACCAAAATATTTCCTCCCTCCCAACCCTTATTAGTTTACTTTTTTGTACTTTATCAAATTGAAATCCATCTTGTTCTTTGACTCAAGTCTTTTATTCTTGCATGGTTCTGTAACAATATCTTGATCATTTGGGAGATCAAGTTTACTGAGCTATATATAACTTCCAATCTTGACATTTTATCAGGCAATAGAAAAAATATACCATAAATATCACTACCTACATCATTGAAATTTTTTTTTAAGTATTGGAAGACTTTATGGTAGGCATTACAAGTTTTCAAAGTTCATGTATTTTCCCCCTTCTTTTTGTGGCTCTACTGAAACTTGAAGTCAGGGTCTTTTGCTCTTGTTTGGCTTTTTCATTCAAGGCTGGCACTACCACTTGTACCACAGCTCCACTCTGTCTTTTTGTTGGATAATTGGAGATAAGAGTTTCTGGGTTTCTCTTCTAGGCTGTCTTTGACTCACCATCCTCAGATCTCAGATTCCTGAGTAGTTGGGGTTAGAGAACAGAAAATTGGGAATCTGGCTTCCAAGTTTTTCTTGAAAACTGTATCTTCTGCCACAACTTGATGCTTTCCTAAAAGTGATAAAATTTCCTCAGATCTCAACTTCTTGAGTAGCTAAAGTTTTTCTATTGATTTTCAAAAATCAGAATATATGTATGTGTGTCAGAATAATCATTTGTAAACCAACATTACAGGTAAAATTTTTTTTTCATGAAAGATCTAATCCAGATTATAAGTGCCTTTTTTAAAATGACTACAATAGGCCGGGCGCTGGTGGCTCACGCCTGTAATCCTAGCTACTCAGGAGGCTGAGATCTGAGGATCGGGTTCAAAGCCAGCCTGGGCAGGAGAGACCGTGAGACTCCTATCTCCAATAAACCACCAGAAAACCGGAAGTGGCGCTGTAGCTCAAGTGGTAGAGCGCTCGCCTTGAGCTGAAGAGCTGAGTGAGGGACAGCGCCCAGGCCCAGAGTTCAGGCCCCATGACCGGACCCAAAAAAAAAAAAAAAAGAAAAAAACAGGTGACTATTATCTCAGTTAACCACCAAGCAGCCAGAAAATACTGTGGCTCAAGTGGTAAGGAATTAGTCTTGAGCACAACAGCTCAGGGACAGCGCCTAAACCCTGAGTTCAAACCCACTGACAGGCAGAAAGAAAACTAATGTATTATCTCAAGATTTACCTACAACTTTTGACCATTGAAGAGATGAAATAAATGTGAGCTTGAGGCGATGGAATAGATAAGCTGTGTTTATAAAGTTCTGTTCCTGTACCTGCTTATTTATACTCATGTAAGAGCTATTGGTATTAATAGTTGGGTAAATGTGAAATGAATTAGACTTAATTATTAATGTATACATTGACTTTTTTGGGGGGGTACAGTCGTGGGGCCCAAACTTTGGGCCTGGGCACTATCCCTCAGCTCTTCAGCTCAAGGCTAGCGCTCTACCACTTGAGCCACAGCGCCACTTCTGGCTTTTTTTCTTTTTGCTTATGTGGTGCTGAGGAATCGAACCCAGGGCCTCAGGCATGCCACTTTCCCAGCCCTACATTGACTTTTGTGGTTAATCTCTTGAAATGAAATCAAACTTTGTTGTCTGAAAACAGCATATTGCACATAAGTAACTTTTTACCTTTAAAATTGCTTTCCTTCTTTGATTCACTCATTTAAGGAAGACTGATATGTAGCCAAACATTTTGCTATTGCAGTGACTTAGTCAAATAGAAGGGGACATAACTTAGTTGGAGAAAAGTCTGTACATATTTACTAGAATAAATGAAGTTTACTATGACACGAGTGATTAGTAGGGTAAAATCAAGAAAATAGAGATTGGTGAAGAGATGTTTCAGTATACCTTGTTCTAAAGCAGCTTAAGGTAAGAAAAGGCTGGTATTGTAGGGAATAAAAAGATAAAACCATAAAAGGTTTGGAAGTTATGCTAATAGTTTTGGTTTTTGTTTGTAGTTTTGATGCTTGGGATTCAACAGAGTTGTATTCATGCAGGTGGCTTCAAACTTTAAGTCTCCTGAGACTTATGACCTCCAGAGAGAGAGAGACAATCCATTGAGGCACAGTGAAAGTGGACAAAAGTTTATTTACACACAAATACACCAGAAAGAGGTCTTGAGACTACCTTGTCCTGGGCTAGATACCCAGAACCAAGAACAGCCTCAACTACTGAACCTCCAAGCCTGCAATAGGCAGTCCTGACCCCCTGACCTTTAGTAGTTGGTCTGCAAATCTCCAAACCTCTGACCTCCAAAGCTCCAAAGTCCAAGGGGAAGGTTTTTTCCCTTTCTTCCCTTCCTCCTTCTCTGCAGGCCTTTCCACTTTCCACAGGTCTGCTCTGCTCTGGGAGGATGGTCCCAAATGGCCTCCAGAGGCGGCCCCGGATGACCTCAAACGCAGCCCCAAATGGCCCCTTCGAGGAGGCCCCGAATGGCTTCCTCTCGAGGCTTGCCCTGCCCTCCACAGGCCTTCCTGCTCCGCTCCGGTAGGCTTTCCCTCCTGCCGACTCTTCTTCCACTCCTACTACTCTCCTTCCTCTGCATTAACTCCGCACTAACCTCCCTTCAACCTCCCCTCAGGACTCCCAGTCACCTCCAGGCTGTTTTCCTCTGGACTGCTCCTGGTATCCTGGTCTCCTCCAGTCTCCTCCGGCCTCCCCCCTCCTCAGGAGTCCAGGTGTCTTCCGGACTCCTCTCTCCTCCCTCCCGACCGTTTTCCCCCTAACCTCTCCTAACCTCCCCTCAGGACTCAGGTTTTTCTCCTACTCTCCCCGGGCCTCGGAGCAGGCCACCTATATATGCCCTGACAGGCTGCACCCCCCCACTAATGGTTTCAAACCCCCATTCATGCTCCTCCCCCAAGCTGCTCCTGTCCAATCCCAATATGCAGCTAACCATGTGGGGCTCAACGCCCCCCCCTCCAATAGCACACCCGCCCCTTTCCGTGGCATGGCACGCCCCTCTAGAGGTGCCCCATGAGGTCTGCCTCTTGATGCCCCGCCCCCTCCAGCAGGCCTGGGGCCCCATGGGTTATTACACTGATAGCTATGATTACAGGCATGAGCCACTGGCACCAGGACATAGGTTGCTAGTTTTCCTAGGTTCACCAAGGATATGCCTAATGTCGGTGGCTCACTCCTATAATTCTAGCGACTCGGGAGCCTGAGATCTGAAGATTGTGGTTTGAAATCAGGCCTGGCAGGAAAGCCCATGAATCTCTTATCAGCATTTAACCAGCAAAATGCCAGAAGTGGAGTTGTGGCTCAAGTAACAGTGTGCCAGCCTTGAGTGAAAAAGCAGGGATGGTGCTCAGGCATGGAATTCAAGCCCCAGTACTTGCACAAATTATGACCTCCAAAGCTGGAGACAATCCATCGAGGCACGGTTAAAGGAGACAAAAAATTTTATTCACACTATTCACACCAGAAGGGGGGCTAGATCCTGGGCTAGATTCCCAGAACCAAGAGCAGCCTCCACCACAGAACCTCCATGCCTCTAATGGGCAGCCCCGACCGTTATCAGTCGGTCTGCAAACCTCCAACCCCAGACCTCCAA